CTCTAGTTCTCGATACACATCGAGACAGTCGTCTGTTTCTCGGTCAACAAAATCGAGTCAATCATCGTGTATCTGTGAGATACCGGTTTCGAGGACCGAGAAGGACAGCGAGATTTAAGAATCATCGGCGGTCGAGACGGCAGAAATTCCCGAACATGAAGTAGAGTTACAAGAGGAAATTTTGAACGTGTTTGGGACGCGCCTCAAGGCAGATAAGAAAACCGCCGCTGCGGTGCACAAGGACGTAGCTCTCCGGTGGTCGGAGGTTTTGAAAAAAGGTCTGCCGGAAGAGGAGGTCAAGGCTCTGTTGGGGAAATACCCACTGTCAGAGAATTGCTTTTTTATCGGGGTACCGAAACTAAACGCCGAAATTATGGTTTCAGTACAAGAAGGCGTTATTAAAAGAGATCACCGTATTGTTGAGAAGCAAGAACGCATCGCCGCATGTCTAGCAGCGTTGGGTAAAGCGATCTCGATATCATTAAAGTTGGACAGTTCTCAGAAACTTGAGTTGCTGGAAAAATTAAGCGATATGGGGAGACTTCTCGCATCGGTGCACCGAGAGGATTCTCTGGCTCGTAAAGGGCTTATTCTAGCGAGTTTGAATTCGTCCTTGAAGAACACTCTCTCCGACACTTCGGTCGACGAGTGGCTTTTTGGTACGGATTTAGAAGAAAAAATAAAGACGGCTAAGAATTTAGAACGAACATCATAGGATTTGAGACCTGTAAGAAAACTTCCGCAACAGAGTAATGCACAAAAGAAGACAAAAAACTGGAAGGGCCCGCCATGTCAACCGACGTTCAACAAATATCTAACGACGTCTAGCGGGCGTCATCATGCAGCATCCAACAAGACGGAGACAAAGAAGTCTGCATACCGCAAAGGATCGAGTCATCAATACAACATTACACTACATCGGAAGATGTAGGTAAACCAGCAGGGCGGTTAAGATTATTTGGTAAGGCTTGGTCAAAGGTAACCAAAGGCTCGATGATCCATAAATGGGTTCAGGGTTTTGTGATACCCTTCACGTCGTATCCGAGACAAGACCGGCCTCCGGTCGAACCCACATGGTCCAACCACGAACATGGTTTAATCGAAAAACAAATTAATAAATTAATCTTTAAAGGCACTATCGAAAAATGCTCTACGTTAAAAGGACAATTTTTGTCGAATATATTTTTAATTCCTAAGCCGGATAGTACATTCAGAATGATACTAAATCTTAAGAGTCTTAACGAGTTCATTCACGTTGAGCATTTTAAAATCGAAAACTGGAAGGTAGCAAAGAAATTAATTTGTCGCAATAATTTTATGGCAACGATAGACTTAAAGGACGCCTACTATTTGGTTCCAATCGAAAAGAAGTTCAGAAAATTTTTACGGTTCTTGTATAAAGGAGAACTATTTGAGTTCACCTGTTTACCGGCTTAAATGTAGCACCGTATGTTTTCACAAAATTATTGAAGCCGGTGGCAGCATACCTGAGAAAAAGGGGATTTACTTCTGTATTTTATCTCGATGACATCCTTATTATCGATCAATCGTACGAGAAATGTCTTGACAATGTTCGCGAATCTGTAACACTTTTGCAGGACTTGGGATTTATAATTAATAACGAAAAAAGTCGCGCGATTCCCACGCAACGGTGTAAATATTTGGGACTAATTTTTGATTCGGTAAAAATGTCCATAGAATTACCTAAGGACAAAGTTCTACGAACCGTCGAACTCACTCGGAAGTTCAGTACAACTACCCGGTGCAGTATAAGAGAATTCGCGGTTTTCGTAGGGACTTTAGTTTCGCGTTGTCCGGCGTTGAAATATGGGATGGTGTATATAAGACGGTTCGAAAAGGTACGAGCTTACGCGCTTGAAATTAATAATAATAATTTTAACGCACAAATGTTTATTCCAAGAGAGTTAAACGAGGATTTTACGTGGTGGGAAGATAATATCCGCTCCGCGAGTGCGCCAATAGATGAACCAGAATTCAAATTAGAAATATTTTCGGATGCTTCACGTACAGGGTGGGGCGTTTTCTGTAAAAACCGACGTTGTCACGGGTTTTGGAATACAGGTGATTTAAAATTACACACAAATGTCTTGGAACTTAATGCGGCGTTTCTTGGATTAAAATGCTTCGCGAATGACGTACGACGAAGTAGTATTTTGTTAAGAATAGACAATACGGCGGCAATCGCATACATAGATAAAATGAAAGATAATCGTCATGAGGATCTTAGTGCACTGGCCAGGGAAATTTGGCAATGGTGCGAACGAAGAGAAATTTGGATTTCGGTAGCGTATATACGTTCTAGTGAAAACGTCGAAGCCGATTACGAGTCACGGAGATTACAACCAGAAACTGAATTTGAGTTATCCAAGAGTGCATTTCAAAAGATCGTTAGATATTTTGGCATCCCACAAGCAGATTTGTTTGCAAGTAGAGTGAACGCGAAATGTAAACGTTATGTATCTTGGCAGAGGGATCCAGACTCGATCGGCATAGACGCTTTCACGTTAGGCTGGAAAAAATGGTTCTTTTACGCGTTCCCTCCCTTTTCAGTAATTCTAAGAATGTTGAGGAAAATAGAACGTGACGAATCAATTGGCATAGTAGTGGTACCATACTGGGAAGCCCAGCCTTGGTTCCCTGTTTTTCTATCATTATTAGAGGAAGAACCGATTATTTTCCAGCCCAATATTAATTTAATTTTTTCTTCCGGCAGGGAGGAACATCCCTTGTGGCAACGGCTTACACTAATTGCCGCCAAATTATCAGGGAAGCGTTCATTAGGAGAAAGGTACCACTGGAATCGATCAAAATATTGACAGCCTCATTATCAGAATCTTCGCTTCGCCAATATGAATCGGGCCTAAAAAAAATGGTGGGAATTTTGCGCGGGGGAAGAAATTGACCCGTTTACAGGTTCCACAAGTGAGGTGTTGAAGTTTCTCAGAGTGGAATTTGACAAAGGAGCCTCGCATAGCTCGTTAAATGGTTACAGATCAGTAATATCTTTAATATTGGGACCTCATTTAGGCCAAAATGAGTATATTCAGCGTTTTATCAAAGGAGTCGCAAAATTAATGCCAGCAGCACCGAGGTATGACTGTACCTGGGACCCCCGAATTGTGTTAAAATATTTATCGAAGTGGTATCCCAACGATGAGATTAGCTTAGAACGACTAACCTCAAGCTTGTGACATTGTTGGCTTTAGTTACGGGGCACCGTATGCAAACTCTGTCGTTAATTGATACGCGGAATATTTATAGATTAAGTCAGAATACGTTGGAAATTAAAATTCCCGATACCATTAAGACTTCGGGCCCGGGGAAAAAACAGCCAGTATTAAGACTTCCGTTCTATTTACAAGATAAGTCCGTATGCGCAGCTTCAACGTTGTTGTCCTATTTAGACAGAACCAAAGAACTACGTAGATCGGTAGTTAAATTATTTATGTCATTTAAGAAACCACACAAAGTGGTGGCCACTCAAACTCTAAGCAGGTGGATAAAGAGCGTTTTAGCTAAAAGTGGCATAAATGTTAACACGTTTTTGGCTTATAGTAGGCGACACGCTGCTACATCAGCGGCAAAAAGACAAGGTGTGAACATTGATGTAATACGGAAAACGGCAGGTTGGTCGAAAGATTCCGAAACTTTCGCTCATTTTTATGATCGTTGCGTTTCTTCAGAAACTGTACGATTTGCAGAGGCGGTGTTAGAATGTTAAGTCCTTTTACGAAAGGCAATTATTTTTAAAAGAATAGCATTATATCTTGTTTTGAAAGTTCCTGGTTTGTTTATTTAAAAAAAAAAAAAAAATTGGTAAAACACACATAAATATATGTTATCGTGTCAATTTGTTGCCGTAACTAACTTTAAACAACTACAATTATGATCTCAAGGAAGAGGCGCGAAATACAATTAATGATTAAACGAACTTACCAAGTGAAGTTCAATCATGATTGTATGATGCGCCTCTTCCGAAGAGATCAGTCCCTCCCTCCCATGCATCTCGAGGCAGATACCCGTAATAATGGTTACGGCAAGGCTTTCAAGAATGAAGTTGGTCGCGGACGCACGAACGGCGTAAGAACTGCGGAGTATAGGGAAACAATTTTTCCCTAAGCTTTCAAATTTGTGGCGACACTGAGAACAATGAGAAGTACTACAATTATGATCTCTTCGGAAGAGGCGCATCATACAATCATGATTGAACTTCACTTGGTAAGTTCGTTTAATCATTAAATATTTTGCACACTTTACTTAAATCACACTTCTACACAATCGTAATAAAATGCAATTTCATGTGTGTTTAATAAATAATAATCTGGCCACTGGATCTATAACCCATCCTAAAGTTAAATAACACCATCCTAGCGTTTTATCACCACAACTGGAAGCTTCTTCAGTCGAGATAAGCGATGTTTTTGACGCGTCGTGTTTCCCCCAAAATGGAATGAATTAATGGACCCTTGCATCGATCGCGTGTCTCTTTCGGGGGTTAAAATATTCTGCGACGTTTCCAAACGGTGGTTCGAGGTTCTAAGCTCCAGCGAAAGAATAGAAAAATATCGGGGAAAAGTAACGGTCTTCGATATCTCGCGTATATTATACGACAGCGAAAAGTAGCGAGACGTGGATGATGATGGAATTCTGCGCGTTCCTGTGCGCGTGCATGCATCGAAAACAAGTGTACTCGCTCGTGTGTGTGTGTTGTATTGTGCGTGTATATTTTTCTGGAGTGGCTCTTACATATATATATCCGAGTGTTTGTGTGTGTTTGTACATTGCGTTGGTATGTACATGAGATCGTGGCTGTAACGATTGACGGTCAATCGTTTTTCCAAATACACGGGCACTAAAGAAGTGGCGGTTGCTCGGGTAAACGGGGTGGGGGGATGTTATTTTTTTTTTTAAGTCGAACGATCGGAATGATTAGTAATCGATTTTCAGCGTAATGACTGAGTAAGACCTAGAAGTAGTACCATTTTCACTTCGGATAGCGAGCTGATACTCAAGACGTACATGGTGACGCCCACCTCGACAGGAGGACCTGAAATCGAAGGTTAGTCAGACTGAGTCGGCCGTTTCCGGCCGCGGACATGTTACACGATGGGGTGACTATGGCTTTTTTTGTTCACTGATCGTTAAGTTATCGTTATCATTCTCGTTACTCTTGAAATATTTTTTTTTGTTTCTCGTGAATTTACTGTGAGTGTGGAATGTTATGGGGGGTTTCTTTTTATTTTTTTAGTGGTATCGCTACGTCGGATGGATCGCTGAAAGTAATTAATGAAGGTAATTACTCTCGATTATCGATTTCCTTTACTTTTTTTTTTTGCTTTCGATACGTGTGTGCTTGGTTATACGTTTTTTGTCGTTTTTTTTGCAACCACGACGATACTGACAATAAGCGTCGCAGTGCTGGAACATTGATCGCCGCGAGGGAGAATCGAGTTCTCGAGTTTCTTTATATCCAGTTTGAATATTCGCAACTAGATGTAGAGGCTTCCAGTATTGTTCGTTGTTACTATTGTACGCTGTACGAGCGTTTCAGATAGATACTTCAAATTGTAACGCAAAAAGAGTTATTCTTTTCAACAAAAAATTATTTTTTCTGTTTGATAGAGTATTTTTTAAAACACGTACAAATAAAATAACTCAATTGTAGGCTGGGCCTGCTGTAGTATTATATTCAAGATAATTTGTGAGCAATTTGTAAAATTTCTAGTACAATTCACAAACAATGACAAAGTGGTATTTGATTTTTAATTAAGGTGTGGAGTATCTTGGAATTCTATAGATGTTTGTAATTTCATTTAAAATTGTACAAATTGCCCATGTATTTAATATGTAAAATAGTCGCAAATATGGATAAAAAGTTCTTATCTTAGGTTCAATCTTCGACTTCTTTGTTTACCTTCACCTAACTTTCTTATACAAGTACTCTTTCTCGTCTTTTCAATATGCGAACTGTTCACACATTCTCTCTCTATGTAACATTGCCTCATATTTAGTTATCCATACAGAGTAGTATGCACAAGTTTTCAGACAGACTGATTGTTCACTGTATATCCCAAAAATAGTATCACAAATGGTACATACCTAATTCCGAAATAATAAATATAGTTTACTTTTTGCAATGTTTCCTTTCATTTAGCATGCCATTGTATCTGATATTAGTTAATCTTTAGATATCGCTTTCGGAATATTAAGTGAAAAATTAATCTGTCCAGAAATTTTTGCACGCCACTGTTTATTTAAAAAATTAGTGTATATACCATATTTTGATTAGTTTTTTTCCTGTTCTTTGAATGGATATCTTTAAAGGGGAAAGTAGGTTTAGAACTACGGTTTTTTTAGTGATTTGCATGAATTTTTTTAGCGAGAGGGGAATGTATACATGGTGTCCCAGCCTTAGTGATACAGCGCTCTAACTCCAAAGCTATCGGCCGAATGCAAAATTTCAAATATGGAAATTGCATGGTAAAGCAGGGCTCATGTTTCAGCGAGAAGGAATTTTTGTTAACATTGTTATGTAACGAGATATGATGGTCAAGTTTCGTTTTTCAAATGGAACTATATATCCTTTTTGTACCATGCGATAGTACTTTTCAAAACAAATTCATTAAGCTTTAATGTATTTACCCGATTTTTATTAGTTTTCAAGCTATGACGCTTCAAAGTTTGCTCATTTTCAAGGACAAATTATAGTTCGGTCCCGGGCAGTCCCATGGATCCGGTAAGCACCATGGGGTTCTTGAAATCGATACGGAGGATCTCGCTTGGTATTCCAGGCCCAAGGAAGGAGAATAGAAAAAGTATTACCTACTTACAATAAAAAAGTATTTTAAAAAAAAGTATAAAAAATACGTACAAAAAAAATATATAGTTCCATTTGAAAAACGAAACTTGACCATCATATCTCGTTCAATAATAAAGTTAACAAAAATTCCTTCTCGCTGAAACATGAGCCCCACTCTACCATGCAATTTCCATATTTGAAATTTTGCATTCAGTCGATAGTTTTGGAGTTAGAGCGCTGTATCACTACGGCTGTACGGCTGTACACCCTGTACAATTTCATAATACTTTGAGAATAGTTTATACATATATTCCAGTAGATGTTGTAATTTTTTGAAAGTATATCCTTGGTAAATGTGGAAGATATCAACTGCCATCCATTGTACCACCATAAACGTAGCTATTTTGTGTATATTCTGGACGCCACACTTTGCAGCTGAAATAAATAGGCATTTTAAAAATTTACTTTAAAAACATGTTTTTCTTCTATATGAACCTAAATTCCCCTCTAAAAAATTGAATATTCTTATAGAAGAAAGATATCTCTTTAAAGTAAATTTAAATCCCTATTGATTTCAGATAAAAACTGTGGCTTTGAAAATGTACGCAAAACAGCTACGTTTGACGGTGACCTCCGGCGGGTGGCAGCTGGTATCTTCCATATTTTCCGAGGAAATACTTCCAAAAATTACAATATTTATTTGAATATATCTATAAAATGTTCTCAAAGTCTCATTAGATTACATACATTCCTTTCTTGTTAAAAGAATTCATGCGAATAGGTAAAAAAACGTAGTCGTAAACCTATTTCCCTCCTTAAGAAAGCGTGCACTTTTGAAAATTGCGCGCCCTCGTAAGTTTATCCTGTGTAATCACTACCAAAGTTTGCTGAAATTGCTATGTCCCTTCAGAGGGGACATCCGAGTGCAAAGGATTAGGAAACGGGGTGAAACGTAGCAGAAGTTCGAGGATAGAGTGAAAAATAAGAGGGAAAAGTCCGGCCAAGAAGGAAGAAAGAGCAAGAGCCGGCGTTTTCTGCGATAAAGTTGACTCGTAAACAACGCCACTGCCAGCAGCATCGCACGCTGTTCCACCGATATATCTTCATTTCCATTTCTGGGATGTTTTTAAAACCCTATAGCCGGCGGACGTCCCATATGGGACACATATTTCACAATGACGGCTCCACGTATACGTTGCAAAACGCAACGAACGGACGTGGTATCGAGTTAATTGAAATGCGTTGGTATGGCTTGCCTCGGCCGGCCAATCGTCCACGAGGATGTGCTTCAAACAGGAAAAAAACGAGAGAGAGGAAGAGAGGGGAAAAAGTAATGGTAACGAGAGAAACACGACAAAAGGGGAAAAGCATCGGTTGAAATAAATCTGACGAAAAAAGTTGATCTAGCCAACAACGATTGTGCATATTTTCGTTCTTTGTACGTTGACGGGAAACTAGTGTACGGAACACTTTTCAGGGGAACATTATTTATATTTTATACGACGACGTGTTGTAGAGGATGAGTCGCAAAGTAATGAATTTAGAGTGTTGGGTTTTTTTCTGGTTTTCGTTAAGGGGAGATGTTTGTATACGCTTGAGAAGATGCACTTATCGGGAAATTTTAAATAAACTATTTTATAGATATTTAAAAATTTTTTAGCATATTAGGATAATGTGTCAAGGAAATCTAAAATCTAAATTCTAAAATCTATTCAATCACTTAGTTTTTAAAATTTCCTATAGAAATGCATTTTTTCAAATGCATAAGTTACCATTTTCTTTAACGAAATATGTTAACATTTATCAACCATATTTTTTATTGTTTCCATTTACGCAGTTTCTGGTATTAAAGGAGGTAGGATTTAGCCACGCAATTACTTAAATTGTACTTTTTCTAATACGTCATGAAATAGTTTATAAGCAATTAATTTAATCTTGGTAAGAGATTTCATATGCAATAACAGGCATGTTACGCATCATCCCACAATTCGCAATATTAATTTCCGTGCAATTAGTGTCAAATGGGAAACGAATATGAAATAGAATATGTTAATTGGCATGATTTTGGCAATTCCTTCCGCCTCCTCGATTCATCCAAAATATTCGCTAGTGATGGAACTAATACGGTATCAGCGCTACCGGTACCATGTAGCGAAGTATCATTTCATATGAAACCATTTCGATACCAACATGGAAGTATCGATGCGTATCGATTACATACAGCAGTAATTGGTATCAATTTTCAACACCGATAGGTACTTTTGAAATGAATAGTTGATCGATACCAATCATCTGTGATATCGAGTTAAGCATAGGCACTACTGTAAATCCATCAAAGATCAGAAACAAATTTCTATTGGCATGAAATGAACAGTTGTAAATAGGTACAATTTTGAGTTAATTAATTCTTGAAACCACCTTTTGCAACTACTTTTTTTTTTATTACATCTTTCTGTTAATTTAAAATTTGTTTTAAATGCAAACATTAGAAAATTTTAAACTACTTTACTAGATTAAATTTTGCTTATCATTTCTAGTACATTCAGGTATTTGAAGGGATTGGTAACATTTTCTAAGAAGGGTTGTACAATAAAATTGATTGTCTTATGTAGTTTAAGATACACTGGGTGTAGAAAGCATTCGTACACCGATCAATTTCCAATAAAACTATGCAAAATTGTAACTTATTAACTTATTTTTTATAAACAATGACATTCTACATATTTGTCGGAAATCTCTAGAATAGATAGACTACAAAAAACTAGTTATTTATGTAAGTTGCGAAATTAACAACAAAAACAATTAATCGATAGAAATGTTGAAGCAATAAGTATTCGGACAACTGTTTAAAAGTACTTTACTGGAAATTTGATGTTTTCTAATTCGTACGGCGCAATAAACTAATGTGTTTACGTTACAAACTCTACTGTAAATGGTTCGTCATAAGAATCGTACAAATACTTATTGCTTCTATACTTTTACCCTATTTTTGCACTTTTTTTGTTAATTTTACAAATTATATTAATTAGTAAATGTTGTTTGGACTATAACTATCTTAGAGATTTCCGAGAATATGTAAAATATCATTGATTATAAAAAAAAAAAAAAAAAATAAGAAACTACAAAATCACACAAAAGTTTTTTTGTAAATTGATCGGTGTACGAATACATTCTGCACCCACTGTATATTAGCGATGAAATTATTCCTCCATAGTTATTTGTTGATTTAAAACGTATATGATGACGAT